GGGGGGGGGGGGGGGGGGGGGGGGGGGGGGGGTGCGCCGTGATTGGTATGCCTTATGAAATCGATTCGTCGCGGCTGAGAAAATCTTGGCTAATGTCTTCGCGGGAAAAATACGAGGCTTTCACGATCGTTAAGGAGTCCATATCAGATGAACTTCGTTCGATGGAAAACTTCAATATTTTGATTACTTTGAGGCGAGATTAATGCTTGGAGCAGATGTGAATCTTGTCCATGCTTTCTGTGAGAGAGATGCGGGATGCGTGAGGCTGTCGCGAACGGGAGGGGAATCGGGTCTGCCTCCGGTCCAGTGGCGTGGCTTCTCTATTTTCTCAAGGGGAGCGGGAGGGGGAGGGGAGGGGGGGGGGGGGGGATAGATACGCCACTGCTCCGTCCCGTGCTGCCTCATTCTTGTCGCCTAGCGAGCCGTGCCCTTGCCATCGGGGTATGGCTCGCGGGCGTGTGGATCGCGGACGGGAGCTTTGCGGGTCGAGACTTGCCTTCAGATAGCGGAACGTGGATTGCAGGTTCCTGCGTCCATTCTGAACGAAGCGAACACGGGGAAGCTTATTTACACGAGTCGGTGGAGTGGGATGGCGGGTGAAGAAAAACAGAGGGATGCCTGCCTTACATGTCGCGGCCTCGCCTGCCTTCCAGGTCGCGGCCTCGCCTTCCCCTCCCCTTTACTTTCATCACTTTCCGCGATCGAATCGTGGATTTTACAGCAGGCATGACGTAGTAACGAAAAGTTTCTCGTGGAGGTAAGAGAAACCGCGACTCGTTCCATCTCACGACCGACCCGACGAGACGCTCGCACTTCTTCCAGCTATTTCCACTCGGCTGCCACCTGGAACGGGCGATCCCTATCTCGCTTCCTTTCGCGCCGACGAGGAACGGGGCCGGTCCCGATGCGAGGCGCGACGAGTCCCTTCGATCGCATCGGTCTCTTTCCTTCTGGACGATGGCGTATTTTCGTTCTATCGTGGCCCGAAGATCGGGAACGAAGACGCAGTTCGATCCTCGAATAAACAGCGTCGTCGCAGCGGACTGATACGATCGCGAACCCCGGAAGAGCTACAAATCGGGATAAAACTAGAAAAATCTCGAAGTCCGTGTCAATATTTACCTCGACCTAAAAGTGACGTAGGCGCACCACGAGGCTCTTTATCATAGCCATGCGCGCAGATTTCACATGACATCCATAAATAAATGGACCGCATTTCTCTGCATCCGCAAAGGCGAACGAACCGATCGGACTTGTTTCCAGGAAACGGCGGGTGATGCTCGCACCGACTCCGCTTGCATCAGGCAGAAGGGAGAGCCCCTCGACGTCACGCCGACGTCACCGCCCCGCCAGCCAATGGGAGAGCACCACGTCCGGAGCCATTCCAATGACGGACTGCCACGACGGAGTTCCGTAGGAGGCATTGCGTGGAGCTGACCCCATCCCGAAGGGATGGAAGAAGGGACGGTGAAAAAGCGGGTCGCGATCCCTCCACCCGATCAGAAACGTTCGAGGCCTTGGTCAGGCGAGTCTCAGAGATGAAGACGATCTTGATCGTGCCGAAGGGGCCTTCGTGCCCCGTCCGAGTGGTGGAATTCCCGTCGTCTCCCGTCGTGAAGAGAGAGATCGAGGACGAGGAGATGGAGTGCCCGAGGAGGAAAAAGGTGAAACTGGATCACTTGTCCTCAGAGGAGAAGATGATGAGGAGGAAGATGAAGAATCGGGCGGCCGCTCAGAGCGCCCGGGATCGAAAGAAGGCGAGAATGGAAGAATTGGAGTGTTTAGTCAAGATTCTCGAGGAACAGGTTTGTGAAGGAGCCTAGATCATCTTTTATTTATTTATATTTATTTCTTAGTATAGGCCTTGGCTTACTACTTGGCTTGACCTACTCGGTGTAAATTCTTGTGTGGACAGGGCCAAGGCGGTACTTTTTTAAAATGAAGTTTCCAAGCCTGTTGTTTCCTTGTACTCTTAAATTGGACCTCTCTAAGTATATATTTTTTCCATTTCAGCATTCCAAGCTTGCAGCCGAGAACAAAATCCTGAGGCTGCAGAACGAGGCATTAGAAGAGGAGAACGCGGAGTTGAGGAGGTCCCTGGGAATGGATGGGACGACGCCCATTGGTCCTGCAGAGTCCATTAATGCTCCCCTGCCGAGGGAACAGGGTGTCAAGTCCCAGACCGTTCTCAATGCTCTCTTCCTCCAACTCTTGTGCTTGATGCAGACCAAAGGAAGCGTCTCGAGCTCCTCGCTGCCGCCTCTCTCGAGGTCAGAAAAGGATGGTGTTGTCACCTGAAAAGCCTCTTAGTTGATGTAAATAGACAAGAATAGCTAGAGGAAATTTTTAGATATTCCAATAAGCTAGTTGAGGAGATTAATATTTGGGGATTTCATAGAAATACAAAAATGTATACCTGTAGATAAGAAGTTTGAAATGTTTGCATATCTTATCTTCCCTTTCATCATGTTTAAGTATGATCATTTTCAGGATGTTGGACGAGGAGGAGGAGATGGGAGTGAAATTGGAGGAACCAATATTGACGACCTCCTGCAAGCCACGTTGGTGGGGACCACATCAGCAATCTTGGAACCCAGTAATTCCGAAGGAGGAAGCGGACGACTGAGCGAGACGTCCGACCACATGTACGCAAGGGAGGGAAAACAGTGCAAACTGGACTCCACATGGTTGTTGGACGATTCCAACGCGGGTGACCTGGACCTATTGTCCGAAATCCTGCAGTTGAGTGAAGAGGACACGAAAGCGTTGAAAGATCCCATGTCGCCCTATTCAGAGAACTGCACCTCTGCATCACCTCTCTCACCCTGCTCCGGCTACGAAAGCTTCTCCTCTCCCGACTCTCTGTCTGATTGCTGTAGCGACCTGGACGATCTATTCCCTAATTTATTGTGAAGCGTGATTGCCGTGTTTTGGTGCACAGTGTGTGGGGAAGTCTCCTGTATTCCTGTTGTTAATGGAATATTATTCCATATTATTAAATTTGGTTTGTGCTGCAAAGTCTATGGGGTTTTTATTAGTGATCAGCAGCAGCAGAAAAATTTAACTTGGGCAAACTTGGGTTTCCCAAGCCCCTGCTGTACAGTAATACCTTGCAATATGCTTGGAGTGTGTTCCTGAAACACCAGGCAGATTGGGAGGTAGTAATAATGTATAACATGCCTAAAATAAAATAAAAAAGCTTGTTGAGAAACAGTGTGGCAAGGTATCTACCTCCCAATCCGCTCGCTATACTTGGTTTTTTAGGAATGCATCCCAAGTGTGTTGCAAGGTAATACTATATACTAGGCAAAATTTGTCAAGTGAACCTTTCTTACCAACAGGGTGCATGAGAAAAAGGTGTCTGAATTAGAGAGACAGTGAGACCAATATGGCCAATCCGAGCCAAACCTCTGCTGCATGCTTTGATTCCTTTAATAAGAGTACCTTTAAATAAAATTTTCAGTTGATCTTTTTTCATTTGCTATGCAGAGGAACAGGTTGGATAAGGAAAACATTGATGTGCTCACATTTATAAAAAATGTAGTCTTTCCCTTCATTTCCTAAATGAACTCTCAGGAAGCTAGAGGTTTCAGAGTTCTGACAGCCACTGGGAGGTATTGATATTAGCATTGGAATTTCTGCTGGAATGGGCTGCATCTAGATTGGTACTTCCATAGTCTGAAGCTCTGGCTTGTAATAACTCCAAAAATATCAGAGGTGGTCCTGTTGCATTTGAGCCCAGCAAACAAGGCTACATTGGACCAACATTCCTTAAAAGTTGATTTAACGTTCATTCAATGTTATGTGTTTCAAATTGTTTGCTGGGAGGGGTGTTCAAGGGAAACCTGAACTTTCTTGTGCTGTGACAACAGCACTTGATACATGCACATAACATTTTTACCTGTTTCTCAGAGTACCCCTTTCCTGTATTGATGCACTTGGATCATCACTGAGTACCCAGATAACTGCAGCATGTAAATATTTGGGCTGACCTGAATCCACTGTAGGACATAAACTGGCAGTTAATTTCTATGAAGTACTAAGCTTGAAGATCTGGATTTGTGATCATGGCTTGGGGCTTAGTTGAACAAGTAAAGGAAGTTGTTTTCACTTTTAAGCCAGTTATTTAGTTCCATACAGAAACTTTGTTCTCCAGTGTCTGAAGTATGATCAGGTTCTTGGGTACCATTGAAATCACTTTCCAGAATTTCAAGTACTTGTTTTTTTTTTCCCATACTCCCTGTTTTTATAAAACAGCTTTGTGGTTTTCCCCATTGAACTGCCATGATTCACTCCTTCACAAGCAATGTTTGGTCAGGTCACCAGTGAAGGTGATGCACTTGGAAACAAAGCACTACTGGCATGTTGTCTTCCCAATTAAAATTGTGGACACCACTTACTTAAATTTCATCATAATAGGGTAGTGTCATACTTATCTGCAACTCAACCATGAATTTTAGCAGGTTCCATGTACTCTTCTATATATACCACATAAAGTGCTACCATTTTTGCACTGATATAGGTGGATGTCATCTTGGATATAGCACTGAAGTTGCCACTGAAACTGGGGCACCACAACAAACTTTTGAATTACAGTTGGCACTATTTGTGTTAACATTTTAAGAAATCCACACAGACTGCTACCATGTTTGAGACAGAAAGTTCAGGTTTCTCTTGAATCACCATCATCAATAAGATATCCTCAGTCATATAGATAACAAGCACCTTCTGTTTTAAATATTTGGAAAAAAACAGCTACTTCAAGAGGTATGGAAACTTCATCTGTTGTATATTACATAATGTGGTTTGGGGCAATGATCATGGTGAATCAGAAACTTTCTGCTTTTCGAATGGGAAGTTTGGACTTGTGATAGTTCTCTTGGGCAACCAACCACAACTGTATTGTTTGAGAAGTAGATGTAAAGGAGCAAAAGACGAGTCTGAAAATGTGTAAAACATTTTATGGAAAAATAATGAATACAACATGGGAAAAAGCTGGAAAAATAAAGTGAATGAACAGAATTGCAGAGTGCATAATATAAAGCAACTTTGGAGATTCATTGAGCAGATGGTAAAGGTGAGCCCTGAGTGCAGAATCAACACTCAGGTCTCTTTTTGATTGTGATGGCCAAGCCCTCCAATTCTGCAAGTCCCTTTTGCAGGTCTTGTATGTCCCTGTGCAAAGCCTTGCTTGGGCTGTAAACCTTGGGACCTTGAAATGCAGGGCCTAATTCCTTCTTCAGCCTGGGTGATGTTCTTTTGGGGTTCTCCTTCTCTTCCCTTCTGCATTTGAAGAAGAGGAGAAAATATCAGTACTTATTAAATAAATTTTCAATCTTACTTTCACAGAACAAGTTCAAAAAAAGTTTAGGGTTGTTCCCTTCAGTGACTGTGGATGAGAAATACCCAATCATCCATACTATCCATACCATTGACAATGGAATGACACGATCCTTCTGCAAATCAATATTTTGCACAATTGACTGGAAGAGCTTCCAGGAAAAGCAGGGTAATACCTGCTCCACCTTAACTTGAATGAAAAAAGAAGGAAACACAATGCATATATTCCATTCAAAAATATTTTAAATCTCATAAGCATGTAATTGCTAATAAGAGGTGGCTATATTAGAAACCGTTACTGCGCAGTAGAGCAGTGGACCATGTCTGTTCATTTCTCCACAAAACTTCCCTCTTTCTAGCTGTGCTTTTACCTGCAGCAAACTCAGTTTTTCAAATTCTGGAAAAAATCATTTTTTCAGAGTACTTCAAGCTCACTGTATATAGAATACTCCTAGTGCAGATATAGATCCATAGCTTATCTGCATCCAGCAGCTTCTCAAAACTGAGAATGGCATACAGTCATTGTAGACCAAGNTGCAAAGCCTTGCTTGGGCTGTAAACCTTGGGACCTTGAAATGCAGGGCCTAATTCCTTCTTCAGCCTGGGTGATGTTCTTTTGGGGTTCTCCTTCTCTTCCCTTCTGCATTTGAAGAAGAGGAGAAAATATCAGTACTTATTAAATAAATTTTCAATCTTACTTTCACAGAACAAGTTCAAAAAAATTTTAGGGTTGTTCCCTTCAGTGACTGTGGATGAGAAATACCCAATCATCCATACTATCCATACCATTGACAATGGAATGACACGATCCTTCTGCAAATCAATATTTTGCACAATTGACTGGAAGAGCTTCCAGGAAAAGCAGGGTAATACCTGCTCCACCTTAACTTGAATGAAAAAAGAAGGAAACACAATGCACATATTCCATTCAAAAATATTTTAAATCTCATAAGCATGTAATTGCTAATAAGAGGTGGCTATATTAGAAACCATTACTGCACAGTAGAGCAGTGGACCATGTCTGTTCATTTCTCCACAAAACTTCACTCTTTCTAGCTGTGCTTTTACCTGCAGCAAACTCAGTTTTTCAAATTCTGGAAAAAATCTTTTTTTCAGAGTATTTCAAGCTCACTGTATAAAGAATACTCCTAGTGCAGATATAGATCCATAGCTTATCTGCATCCAGCAGCTTCTCAAAACTGAGAATGGCATACAGTCATTGTAGACCAAGCTTTGGCAATTCTAATTTCATCTAAAATTCCTGGATTTTCCCTATGAAAACCTTGGCCCATTAGAACATTAGTATAAGTCATAAGTCACAGCTTAGTGAATGAGCTCTCATTAAAGTGAGTGGGGAAAGATACTTTCTTGATACCGAAAAAATGAAGTTAGAATATTTTTGCAAGCTTAAACAAGGAATTTCCTGAATGGTGGGGGCTTTTATATCAACTGAGCAGTAATTGCTTTTACTGTTGTTTAGCTCCTGGACCAGCATGGAATTCATGTTTCCTCCCCAGTTCCTTTTTGTGTAAGGAAGTCAGTTTTCAATGGTGTTGCATTACACTCATGCAAAAGCAGGAAATATTAAATCCACACCCAAAGCATACAAAATCCAGTCAGGTCCATTATGTATCCTCAGCACACATTAAGTTCGTAGCTAGAGTACCTCTTGAGAAATTACTCTTCCACCCAGGGTGAGGCATCTCTCACTGGTCTCTTTATAGCTTTGGCCTCACTATCTGCTGTATATCAGCAGGTCGGCCGAAACTTCATCTAGGATGCCGCACCTTCCATCCAAGAACAAGAACAGTTGGCAGTTTACCTGCGACCAAGATGCTGCACTTTCCTCTATTACTGATGCAAGCCTGTTATGTAAATGTCTGGTCCACTTATCTCTTTCACCCAGATGAGGGCATGCTGACCCTCTTAAAAAAAAAATGAGTGAAGTAACAGGTCATGACTTGGCACTTTAATACAATTGCTGTTTCTCATTAAAAGCTCTCAATTTTTACAAAATAAACCTACAACAGGAACAGATAAAGGGAGACTCTTGAATTACTTTAATATAACTATAGAATTTCAAGGTAAGAATCTCATTTCATCTTCATTTTTTTAAGGCAGCCAATGTCATAGCGGCCTTCAGCCAATTTCAACAATGAAAAATGAGCTATGCACACTGACATCTGCTTCTCAAGCCTGAATTCCATTGGAAACATAAATAGTTCCTTACCGAGGAGTGAAGTAGTGGGTGTGAGTCCGGCTGACTGGGGATTCGATGGCAAATGGGCTATAGAGTTTCACTGGCGTTCGTTTTCTTATGCCTCCTTGAGGAGATGGCGAATCAACCAACCTCTTTCGTCGTCTTGTGGACACTCGCAGTTTCTGCAGTAAGAGTCACATCAAATCACAAAGGAATGTCTGCCAATATTTCATAATTTCTGAGAGGAATATATGCTTTGAAAGCTTTTAAACATGAATCTGAGCCAAAATATTCCCAAATCAAGGCACATGCCTCAAGATGAACTAAATAGTCAAGCAGTGGTAAATTA